TAAGTCATCGCTTCCAGACTGCTAAAAAATTATTAATGCTGATATCAAATGCAAATGATCAGATTGCCTTCCATTTTGGGGTTTTGTTACTGTGAGCATGCAAACAACATCCATATGAGGCTACTACTTAATCGCTTTCAAACTGACAAGGGATCTCATAAGATCATTACACATGAAAACCTGCTTTACATTTGAAAAGAGAGGCCTCGTGCGCTATGAAAACACATGAATTAACTGACACATGTGGCGGTGGTGATGGTGGGGGGACTTGTATGAATATTAATAATCCTACACAAAAGCCTTTAGTGGACCAGTAAACAAGCAGACTCTTTAGTTAAGAGACCGCCTCAGACACACATAGACATACACAATAGCTCCAGACTTCCTTCATCATATGAGTGATGACAATCTGCTGTGGAGTGTCAGACCCCAGAGAGTGAGGCACACTATAAGAAGGAGACCCTTGAGGTTTCGCTTGACGTTGAAAACGCAGTCAGAACCTATAGAAATCCTGATCAACAACCTGACCGGTGAGCTTCGGTAATAAACAACTGAGATGCTTGATCCTGAAGTCTGGGCTAAACAAACCCAGCATATACAGGCTTTTCCTAGAGACATCAATATAAACATTGCGGTGAGTGGTGTTTGGGTAAGAATAAGTGGACAGGCGGTGCTTGACTAGAATGAGTAAGCTTTGGTAAATAAATACATTTGCCAACTTGCCTGAGGATAGTCATAACTAGACACAGTCAACCAGACTTCAACTATTCTACACTTAAATGAAAGACAATGGGATCTTGAGCTATATTAATGAGAAAATATTTTAAAAAAAATATCCACAATCAAGGACTGTAAACGAAAAACAAGGCTTCAAAGCAAGCTGCACAATTGTTTCCATTTATATCAAAGCAAATTTTTTTTTAGAGAATACTAATTTAAAGGTAAGCTCAGCCCAAGTTGCATAATGAGGCATTGCCAAGATCTTAAAGGGATAGTTCCACCAAAAATGGAAATTCTTTCATAAGATTTTCATCCTTCACTTGTTCAAATCTATTCTTTAAATACAAATTTCTTTTCTTCAGCATTTTTGTTTTTAAAAGATGTATTAATAGACATCTAAACATAGTCGTCTTGACTAAAAAAGGATACATTTGGGCTGTTCCTGAAAACCTAAAAAAACGTCAAAGAATAGACCAAAACTAGACAAGTCATCAAATAAACAGAAATGAATGACTACACATATAAAGTCTGTCTAATATTTTTATTTGATGACTGGTCTAGTTTTGGGCTATTCTTAGATGTCTATGAGATTTACACTGACATCCCAAGTTTAGCCTTGTTTTAGCCAAGCTCTCATCATTTAGATGTCTATTAGATGTCAATTAACAACAAAATTGCTGAGTAGTTGGCCCCCATTGACTTTATTTGTACTTTCTATAAGTATTTTTTCCTGTGAAGTCGAAGAGTGCCAGCAACCATTCATTTTACTGCAGCTTATTTTTCAGGGGTCGTCACAGCGCAATAAACCGCCAATTATTCCAGCATATGTTTTATGAATGCCCATATGTGAGGCGACAATGTCAGCAACTAGCATACTTCAAAATATCTCCTTTAGTGTTCAACTAAAAAAAGAAACTCATAACGGTTTAAAACCACATAACAGAGAATACTTTTTTTTTTTTTTTTTTTAATTTAAAAAAAAAAGATTTTGGTGCAGAAAAAACAAACATAAAGCGCTCTGGGGTAGGCTCAAATGTATGGTCGGTGCTCTTTGGGTAAGGGATTCATCAAAACAGCAACAAGAATCAGTCCCAGGCACTCAAATAAAGTGAAAAATTAAAAAGCCTTTATTCACATGGCTAAATCTCTAAAAACCTACATGTTTCGGCAGAAGTCTGCCTTCATCAGGGTAACCATTTTTTGGTGAACTAACCCTTTAAGATGATCACTACTAGTTCACCTCTTTGTTCTATTTTTGGTTCAAATTAAGTATTCACATCCTTCACGATATCATACTTGAGAAGCAAATTAAGCTATTATGTTTCACTGCCTGATAATTTGATGCATTTTCCCTCATCAGCCACCACTTTGTAGAAATCTCAAATTAAATGTTTTATTTTTAAATGTTTTTTGGTAAAAGTTCACTTTCGCATGATCATTGAGAGGAATCAGACATTGTGGGTCACATTCAAAGGACAGACACTGACACATTTCAACACACAAGCATAAAAACCAAATTCCTAGAACGCTTTGTAGCAACTGTGTGCAAGCTCAGTTAATTCACAAACCAACAAACTGCGCGAGTCATACAAGCAAATGTAATGTTAATTATTAAACTGAACAAAATCTCCAACTTTCAAAGCACTCAGAAATGTGAACATTGTAGAGGCAGTGAGTTAATCTGTAAAATTAATAATAGATTTGCAAACCGAAATCTTCTCTTAGTGAATTTTTAAACATTAAAAAAAGTGAAGACGCATACTAAATTGTCCAGTTGTATCCCTGAATGATGATGTGAGTTTCTATGGCAATTCCGTTCAACTCCGTTCAGCAGGAATGACCAGCAATGGCAACATTTTTCACAATCACAACAGAAAAATTACAGATATACACTGTGATCCTCCTAATATGACGTCCAAAAATAATAACGGTTCCCAGAACTCAACAAGAATAACAACAGCTTGACATTCTCTATACACATGGATCTATAATGAAGGTCCACAGCAGGCTTCATTCCCTCCAATGGAAAGCATATTTAAACAGTCTGAATTGTTCATCCTTTTTATATTGAAAAAACATGCCATTCATCATATAGAAAACCAGTTTCAGCAGCAGCTTTGGTGTCTATTTATGTAATTGCATTTGAATGGAAGGAAAATCTAACATGCAGAGTGATGTAATGAAAATCACGGATCCTTTATGGTGGAATTAAGAGGCTAAGTTTTGAATCTGTACATTTTAATTTGAATTTCATCATTGTTTTGAAGCATGTGAATAAGCAAACATAAGGACAACACATTCATAATTATGAACTTTAAATCCACTTCACTTTTTTATAAAGTACTGAGGGATACATGAAGGTGCTCCACAGGATGATCAGCCTAACAGCGAACCTTGATGTTGTCCTGGGAGAGTTTGTGAGTTTGATCTATTAAAGCTCTTTGATTGCAGCTTAAAAGAACATCAAATGCATCTATAATTTTCCCTACTTACCCAACAATGTGAAATGTAAAGATTGGAACAGATTTGGCCGACTCAATCGTTTGCTTTTCAGAGTTTGAACAGACTTGTTGACGTTAAACTCAGATGAACCAAAGGGCCCTGATTAGCTGCTTCAGGTATGTTTGATTGCAGTTAAAGCTCCACGGGAAGGCAGATTTCCAGGATTTAGCGCCGCTGACTTAAACTGTGCCAGGCCAACAGGTGATTTTCCCTCTCTAGCTCAGGCGTTTGTGTATTATCTGCCATCTGTAATCATAGAGTGCGCTTAGCCTACAAGACTCGACACTGCCCCCTACCGTTTCTGACCAGCGGTGCAGTGCATGTCCAATACACCTGTTCTCCAGTTCGCGAAGACAAATCAAGCATCACAAACCAATGCAAGCAACAATTTCAACACAAACCCATATATATGAAATAACAAGTGAATTTAAAATGTCAGAACAACTGGATGAAAAAATTACAAAGCACAAAACTCATTACAAATATAGGAGGCTGAGAATAGACAAGTGATTTGCTACATAGACAATTAAAAATAAAATGTTCTATTATTATTATTATTATTATTATTATTATTATTATTATTATTATTATCGTTCCAGCGCCCTCACATATGACCTATATCAAAGAACTGTCATCAGATAGGATATTGCTTTGTTTGGGTTGCCTACTCGTTCTCATTGCTGACCATTGTATGTATCTCTAGGCTACTATTATTGGATATACCTTTTTATTGTACGCAGTCTCAGTTTTCCAGCCTGTTTTTGCTGCGAAAGTTAAAGAAAAGCGCTGTATATAATACATTTGTTGTTGCTGTTTGTTGAAACATCAACAGATTCCGTCATTCACATGGTTCTCTGACAGCTGACTGCCAGAATCGTTCACTCACAAACATACTGACTGAATGACCACCAAATACTGGTATGGTATTCAGATCCTAATAAACAGCGAACAGCTTGTCTTTTAACGCTAATAAAGTTTCACGAAAACACAAAGACAAATAGGTGACAGATGGATGCAAAATCCCTCCACCTTTACTAGGAGACTTATTTAAATATCTTTCGCAAAAGTAGGTTATTATCGATGATATTGTAGAGTATTTATCAAAGTAAATAAATGAGGAGAAACCTTCAAATGCCAAAGGAAGATAAAGGACGGTGTAAAACAGCGTGTTTTCCTCGGAGCTTGTGAAACCTTTCGATTCCAAAGCAAAATTCCTCGGATCCTGAACAGAACGTGAGCAGCGAGTAAATTCAGTGTCAGGATAAAAGAATACTATGGTGAATCCTGTTCATATAACAGCTAATAATAGCTTTATTAAAATGAGAGCAGAACACTAAAGACCAGAGATTTTTCAATGAGGGTTTTGTCATCACCACAAAGAAAGAAAATACACCCATAAACGAGAATTTGTTATATAAAGAAGTCTTAAATTATTCTAAAATACTTCTGTAATATTGTTACACATTTCTCGTTTAGCCAAATCCAACCCGCTGACAAATGTTTATTAAATATATGCTTTGCAATTTTGAAAATGTAAGGATTTAAAAAGAAAAGAAATTCAAATTCACAAATATTTACACATTTATTTTGTTCCCACAATAAAAAACCCCATATAAATTCGCTTAGAAATGTTAATAATGCAATCTAGCCACACAACTTTGGACCACAAAAGTTCTGAAAGTACTTCAGTCTCATCCTACTCGGAGAACATCAGAGGCGGTTTCTATAAATAACTCCATCTAAAGGTGAGGCAGTGGTATCCAAAAAGAGTATTTTACCTTCTGATGTTCTTCCTCTGAAGTCAAATCTGTCGTACGTAAAACGCAACGCATAAACCGCAATCTCCGCTTGGTGTAGTTCTCCTGTGCAGTATCCCTTTTCTGTGAATGACTTCCAACGATCGACCTGCAGCTGCTTTACTGCGCTGTGCTGGAAAGAGGAGGATACTACAGAAGGGCGGCTGCAATTCAAACGAATAGGGGTGCGAATTCTGTTCAGAAGCTACACCTTCAAATTGTGGCTCTGTGCTGATGAAGCTGATGAGTATTTGAGTTCACTTTTTACATGCAATTATTCAATGGAAAGTTTCTGTAAATCTATTTTTATGGCAATTGAGCAGTTGTGTATAAGGATTCAAAAACACCCCTATTTGCAGTCGGAATAGTCTGCCCCTAGAATCAGTGAGGTACCATGGCAATTAATTAACTGTTTGGATCTCACAATGCTTTCCAAACTGTTTTGGTATTTTGGGGTTCTGCTGTGGTTAAGTTAGAAAATCCTGATAAAGTACTGTGACCAGGGGCAGATTTAACCAAAAAGCGAGGTAAGCGGCCACTTAGGGCCCCCAGAAAGTCTGGGGGCCGCCAATAAATATCTAGAAGTATAAATTAAACTATATATATAAAACGTTGTTTTATATAATATTTTGTATGGTGAGAGTCAAATAAAATTATAATGTAATTAAAGATTATTATGAAATAAAATAATATTTTAATAATAATACTATTTAATAATAATATTATAAAATATTTTTATTTCATTTGCACAAATTTGTCCACCACCCCCAGTAATGAAAGTGTCCAGCAGTCAAATTTATTTTAAAAAAATGCATGTACTACTTTTTGTTGTAAATTCATTTTAAGAAGATCAAGGTTTGAGTGATATAAAAAACCTGCTAAATCAATAAAAATGAAATAAAAGTAGAAAGTGTGCATTTTACGACTGTTGTGCTCCATGGTTGGAATTGCTTAGAGCCCCCAAATCACTAAATCCGGCCCTGACTGTGACACGAGTTACTAAGTGGCCTCAAACTTGCATAAGCATTATGGTACTCAATTATTGCCATATGTACTGTATAGCTTTAATATGCAAGCTTTTCCTATACTTTTCAAAAGCACAAGGTGGAAAATATGTAGTATTATCGTTTTTACTAATATAAATTGACAAATCTGTATTGGGTTTGGTTAGGAGCAGGTTTGCACAGATGTCACTGAAAATTACACACCATTTGAATTTATAATATGGGACAAATAACAGCTTAACTTTGATGCATCTGACATAAACAGAATATTTGAAAACGTAGAGTCATGTTAAGATAGAAATATAAAATAAATCAACTAGAGAAGTGGTTCTCAAACTGTGGTACGTGTACCACTAGTGGTACGCGGGCTTACTTCTAGTTGTACGCGGAGGAATCACTGAGTAATGAAAGAAAAAATGAATACAATTTTAATCATTTGATGCGTTCGATAACACCGATGTGAGCAGCATTAGCTGTTCTCTAAAGCCTACAATCAACGTGCTGTGCTTAGAATGTTTACTTTAGTGCATCGCGTCATCTGCAGCTAAAAATCAATCCAAATGACGCAGAACTAGAGAAAGAGGGACGTGGTGCTTGCAGAGCAGATATGCGCTAGAGCAGTGGTCCAAAACCCTCAGGCCACAGACCGGCACCGGTCTATAGATCAATTAGTACCGGACTGCACAAAAAAATACTAATTATTTCCATTTTATTTATTATCTGTGTCAGAACAATCATTTATTTTGAAAAATCTTTTATTTAAAAAATGACCATATTCTCTTGTTACATCTCGGTCACTTAAGCATCATAATTTAACCCACAGGCTAGCAAAATGAGTAGGAACTGCAGCACGACACGCTTGCGTCTTCCAGGCATCCCCAGTTGAAAACATCTTAACTTTTCAGAATGCCGCTCTGCGAGTCACATGGTCAAGTTGTCAAATTGTATAAATATGAATATGCCTCGTTTTTGAACTGTGCAGTGCTGTAGCTGCTTAATTTGGCCAACTACGCTACTTTATTTCAATACTGGTCATTTTGGTGGTACTTGGAAAGACAATTTTTTTTGAGGTGGGCCTTGGTAAACAAAGTTTGAGAACCACTGAACTAGAGAGTAAATACATTTTGATATGCATAAAAGCTTGCCACTGGCTTGCTTGGTTTGGGACTTGGGGAGCTACGCATCGATGAATTTGTTCTTCAGTGTTTGGACTTTCAGCACTGAACTGAACTAAACTGAACTTCAACTCTAAAAACTGGACTGACACAGTTTCAATTTAATAGAACTTCTATTTTGACACAATCTACATTGTAAATGCACTATATAAATATGGATGAATTGAATTGAATAAACAGTATCAAATTAAAGTTTTATTCCTGACAGATTTTAGATATCAAGTATCAAGACTATTGAGATTTACAGTAAAAATTTGATTAGCATTCATTTATTCATTCATTTTCTTTTCAGCTTAGTCCCTTAATTAAATAGGGGTCGCCACAGCGGAATGAACCACCAAGTTATCCAGGATATGTTTTATACAGCGGATGCCCTCCCAGCTGCAACCCATCATTGGGAAATAGATTAGCAGCTAATTAATGATTAGCATTCATTATTCTAATGATGTAATGTCTCGATGTATGTTTTCTGTCTAATAAAAGTAACAAGCCAACTTTTTTATTGAGTAACCTAAACCAACAAATTTTGACAAAAATCTTTCATTTATCCAACCAATGTGATGAAATTAAAAAAATACATTTAATGGCATTTATACACTGTAAAAAATTATATGATCAATTAGACCTGACCGCATATGTTTTTAGGCCATTGTAACCTATTAATCAAATGTAATCATGTTCTAACTTAATTTTATAAGATACACAAGCTGTTTTAAGTTAGTTTAATATAATACAAGTTCAATGGACTTATAAGGTTAATTTGATTCAGCTTAAAAAATTAATGTAACCAGGATTTTTTACAGTGTAGCTATAAATAAATAATGTACAAAAGTTAAAAGTATTTAACACAGCTTGATTTTTTAAAAGTCTTTTGAAATGTATTTTTCCCCCCACCCCTCAGTGCAGTCAGGACAGTTGTGTGGTACCTCTGTCACTTCCAGGTGGTGGCACTACAGTGTGTCTGACTCATAAGCAAGATCACTGCAAATCTAATACAATAATTAGTCTAGGTCTATTAGTTTATTTTATTTGGCAAGTATATTAGGCTCTATATTGTCTCCATAAAAATTAATTCCTAAAATAATGAGGCATAAATCCGCAAGAGTAGCCTACTTACTAAGATAGATTATATGTTATGAAACAACACTTAGTAACTACTAAATTTAGCTATGATTCAAATATATTAGAAAATATATATATTTTAAAATGTATATTTCTGACTGCGAACAAGCTGGTGGTTTGGCTATACTGTAGTTATAATAACTTGCTTAACTTGCTTATTAAAATGCTAAGTTTATTATTCAGATCATTTTCATCTGTTCTTAGGCAATTGTTTAGTGGTTGACATGAGGTCTAAAACAATGTACACAGCTTTATACTTCAAATGTGAACTTTGAAGCCATATGGATAAAAGAAAAGTACGAACTGATCAAGGTTAAAAACCATAGGGTTCTATAAGTCCACTATATATATATATATATATATATATATATATATATATATATATAAACTAGTTTTATATTTAATTTTACACGTGTGTCTTATCCAACATTTCTGAAATCTGCAAGGCCAACAAGTCTGCACACGCACAGTATAAATTTTATTAAACTTATTCATTCTGACCCAGCCGAGGCTCGAACCAGCGACCTTCTTGCTGTGAGGCGACAGACAGTGCTAACTACTGATCCACTGTGTCAGCATTAGTATATTTAGAATGATATAATTTAATACAATCTTGCTTATATTATTGTGCTTAAAGATTCTGTCACATGTCTGACCAATAACAGTGAGCACTTTATAATAATTTAAAATTATAAAAAAAAACACCCTCCCCTCCTTACGCTAGCTCTTCTTTTCTCAGAACTAACAGTTCTCTTACTTCTTGTTTTGTAATGCCTTATCATGTTGGAATGACTAAATGTAAATGTAGAAAGAAAGTATTTCTTTAGTGCTTTTTTAGTGCTCACCTGGGTTTTCTCCGGGTGCTCTGGTTTTCCCCACAAGTACAAAGACATGCGGTACAGGTGAATTAAATAAGATAAATTGGCCGAAGTGTATGTGTGTGAATGCAAGAGTGTATGGGTGATTCCCAGTGTTGGTTTGCAGCTGGAAGGGCATCCACTGCGTTCATTTCACTGTGGCGACCTCTGATTAATAAAGGGACTAAGCCAAAAAGAAAATAAATGAATGAATGAATAAATAAATAAGATTAGAATGAACAAAAATATTTATTTAGAATATTATAACTTTTTAAATGTAATAATAATAATAATACATATTTACATTCATAATAAAATAATATAATTGCTATATTTATTAAATATTTAAATATTTATTTATTTTTAAAAATATTTTATATATATAGTTTTTTATTAAATATTTAATAAATATAGCAAATATATAAATCAATAAATTAGATTAAAACAGATGAAAGCAAATACAATTGATTACTCACATAAGTATATAGCTGTGTAAATAAAAACAAACAGTATTGTGAAAACTTTAAAGTGCCAGCTAAATTATATTTTTAACATGAGCATTTTCACTGTATCTGAATACGAGGCATACTCATTTTCATTAACATTGTTCACTTCCCCAACTAACATGATTCTGAAAACCTTCTGTATATCTATTCAAGAACTAAACAACAAAAACTAACCAAAACAATGACTTGCTTTCAGTTTTAAAGATCATTTGAACACAACCTCTTTTCAACATTTCTGCATAATCAAACAAACCTCAATAGCCCCACCTTATGCCCCCCTCAAAAAACTACATTTCCAAAGAAACTACATTTCCTAAGAAGCAGCGCGTTCTCCAGGGATTTGGAGGAAAATGGATTGCGCTTGCGTAGCAGGACGTGGCAGCGGCATCATGGCTTCTTGGAACCGACACGGGAGACGTAGGAGACTGGTCGAAATGTTCATATTCCTGTCATTGGTGAGTCTTTATGATCAATCCGATTGAATCGATATAATCAATAATAAGATTCGCGCGCACCAGAGAGATTTTGTGCTTGACGTAAGGCGAAAACGAAAGAAAAAGAGGGATGATCTTCAGTCCCTCTTGCAGCAGTAGCTCAAAGTTGACAGCAGAAGAGAGACACTCAAGATCAATCCATTTCATTCATCAGCTCTCCTGTAGATTTGTATGACTAAACACACGCAACTGTGCGTTTCACATGCGTTAATGTTCAGCATGCAACTGTCTAATGTCAACTAGGATTCACTGTTGTCGCTGATAAAGGATAAAATATGCTGTGAAATTAGCATTTTAGTTGTTCCACTTAGGCGTAAAGCTTTAATAATGCGCAATGATAAAAGTGTTGCATTGTAATAGTTTCATTGGTTAATGTTGTTACGTGATGATGCTTATTTTTGTTCCTCTTTGTTATAATATTCAAAATGCATGAAAACTGCATTGAATCCATGCACTAATGCACCTGTTCAATCACGAACTACTCATTTTCTTACACGGAAGTCATTAATATACATGTCTTAGTAATTATACTGTTGAAAATACCATTTTGAAAGACGTTTTGATAAATCGCAAGTTTTTTTTTTTTCAAAAACAATACAAAGAAGTAGTTTTTAAAAGAGTATTCATATACAGTGCAATCAGTCACTAACATGTTGAAAACCATTGGATTGTCTTGTGACAAGAAAGTTGCAAAACAGGCCGTGTCTGAAAGCACATAGGTTAGGGCTGCACGATACTGGAAAAAAAACTTGCATTGCCATATTTTCACTCCCTACAATTTATATTGCGATATTTCACAAGATAACTTAATTAATCAACTTAAAAATTTTAGATTGATTGAGATGATTTTGTAGGGGAGTGCATTTGCATAAAATATGATAATCTACAAGCAGACTTAAAGTAGATTAATATATGCAAATAAAGGAGAAACTATAAAACTATACAGGTGCAGAAATAATCAATTGTACAATAAAGCTGTATTTTCTTCATTGTGTTAATAATTAAGTACAATTAATCTTTGTTAAATCTACAAACATAATAGTTGATTTGTTTTAAAAAATGCTATAAACTCGCTTGAAATTTTTACAGAGGCCTTAAAATCACATATGGTGATTTTTAACTTTTTACTTTGTTAACCTGAAATGAAAATGATCACGTCTTCTAAATGGTTGGACCTGGTCAACTACAATCCTGACTCTACATTGCACACCCTGTGATGGTCAGTAAACCAGTTGTAACATGGAACTGTTAAGTTACCTTAACTTAATTTACTAAAAATATACACACAAGTTTATTTACTCACTTTTAAGTCAACTAATCACCTTTAAATTAACAGTTTTAATCACTTTTTTAAATGAAGTCAACTAATTGATTTTTTTACAGTGTTGAAGAAACTCAAATAAGTTTCAATAAACTTTAAAAAAATATATACAATTAAAGTTTTTTTTAGATTGAAAAATATAGGTTTCTGTAAATTCATGAGTTTTCAATACACACAGTTCCTGCAAATGAAAATGTAGTAATTAACAATAAGATTATTAAAGTCTTTTTCATTGAGTGTTCATTTTAACTAATGCATTGAACATTTATTAAGTATTGAGTATCATCTAATATATTTAAACATTTTTATCAACTTCTTTTACCCATTAATACTGCTCCACAGGTGGTTCCCACATTACTGATCTCCCCATTTCTCCATTATGATGACATTTGAACTGTATATTTCAGTTTGCTAGGGTGTGGTTTATGTCTACACTACCAGCATTATTAAACCTTGATCGTTTTTTCCTCTCCATCCTCCTTGTTGGCTTTGAGATTAACATGACATAAATGAGCTTGTAGTGTTTACATCCCCAATTAACCCAATATTTGCTTCAGTTTAAAGGGCTCTGACCCGGTTTCACAAACTAATTTGTGAATCAATGTGGGCCGTGTCCTCAACACTGTACTCTAATACCAGCTCTGCCACGTCAGTCAACTCTCATTATGCAGGAGCTTTCCTGTCTCACATCCTGTTTTGCGCCTGCCACCTCAAACAAAGGTACTGTCCTGAACTGTAGCTACTTCTGTGGTGGCTGTCAGAGGGTAGAGAAACCACTCTTTACAATCTGTTCTTCCCTTCAGCCCCCTCTCTTGTCAGTCCAATTTATAAAATCTCTTTACAAAGTCTACAACCACCTTCTTTCCATGACCCAGCACTCTTGGGGTGTCTTTGGGGTTAGGAGTGTAAACCAAGGTTAAATTAACGAAAATTAAGACTAACCGTGTGTTCGCACTGACAAGAGCATCAAAGTAGCTGAAAGTATTTCATTTTCAACGAGAGCTGATGGCGAGCTCCAGAGATGATTAACTTTATGCTAATGAGTTATGATGTGGTTCAGAGGCAACCTATCAGAATGTACAAGTCCACCTCTTGAGAGGTTGTTGCTAGAAGGGCTACAGCTGTGGCCAGAAGTTAACGAGACTTGTTTCTATTATTTATTAAATCACTCATTAAATGTATGTTTTTAATACCTACACTAAAAAAAAAATAAGGTAAGTGGTTGCAAACAATTTATATGGGCTGAATTTAAACAAATTAAATGGATAATGTGTAACTTAATTTGTATGTTTAAATTCAGCCCATATGAATTCTTTGCAACTTCTTAAAATCATTTAGTAATTCCAATGGATAACTTTTTTAGTCTACCCCAACCCTAAACCCAATCATCACAGTAATGTAAATACAGTAATTATACAGAGTATTATTCATACTATTTATTAAATTACACAATACATTGTATTTTATTAACGAACGTCTACCCAAACCCTATACCCATAGTAATGTAACAATATTCATTATTGTTGTACAGTGTCACAAAAATTATGTTATATTGACGTGAGTATCCACAGCTTCTGTATAACCCTTTCCAGTTTCAGAGAATGCAGTCTAATAAAGTTTGGTTGTGACCATTTCAGTTTCCAAGCAAAACAAAGCACAGAGGTTGATTATTGCTATGGCCGGTTACCCAGTTTGTAATGTAGGATACGCACACATTAACGTTAACATAAGGCTATTTGACGTCTTCTGTTAACAGCATGTTTAAATTAGACTAGCACTTAAAAACGAACTCTAAAGCCTCACTAAAAATGGCTTTTAATTGGTTTATTTCATTAGAAAAACATGTAAACATATCGAATCGTCACAGTACCATTGACGGTGACCAGAGCCAATGATTCACTAGGTTTTTGTAAGTCATATTACACATCGTTATAAATGTAGTTATTAACATTAAGATTAATAAAGTCTTTAACTAATGTATTGAGCTTTTATTAACAAATGAAACTTTAAAGTAATACCCAATATATTTATTCATTTTTAACTTATTTAGTTTGTAATGTAGGATGTGAACTAATTAACAATAAGGTGAAGACCAAGGCTATTAAGCTTCTACCATAAAGGGCATCTTTAAATTACACTAGCTTTTAAACATAAACACTAAAGCCTCACTAAAATGTATTTAAAATGGATTTTACCAAGGCTTTTAAACAACTTCTATAAATGGCATGTTTAAATTAGACTAGCTTTTAAACATGAACGCTAAAGCCTCACTAAAAGGGATTTTAATTGGTTAATTTCATTAGAAAAACATGTAAACATATCGGATTGTCACAGTGCCATCAACAGGGTGGCCAGAGACAATGACACTCTTGCTTGTGTGATTGCACGGTTTAACTATAGTTCAAAAAAACATTTTTATTAAACTGAATAACTAAACAAATGAAAAACTAAAGGAAATAAAATGATAACTACCAAGAACATTATTGTTTTTAGTATTAATACGCATTCATTTTGTGACTGAAAATCCAACGCAATCTCAAAAAACGTTTTGATTTAGTGGTTAATTTGTATGAATCTAATCTAATCTAATTCGTACAATTTGCTTATCACCCAATGACGGTTAGGTTAGGGGTGGGATTGGGTGCCACACCTCCTTTTTAAAATCGCAAATTTTCGTACGACTAAACTCGTACGAATTAGTACGAATTAGCCACTAAACTGACAAAGCGTAAAATATTTGCGTTTCCTTGTGAGATCAGGCTGGAAAATCTGACCTGCTGTGACTGTTTATATAGCGCTTTTGTGAACAAAAACACACGTGTATTATAATTAAGTAATATCAGCACCTGTACAGCTTCTTTCCCTTTGTGTATTACTCTGCCAACATACAGCCAGCAAAAAGCAGACACTACAGATCTAAAGTTTAAAAGATGCTTGCTCAGCTGTTTAACTGTCAGCTTATGATTTGAATCTGGAAGTAGTTCCTCATACATAAGGTTTTTTGAGACTCTCCATGTTAGATTTTGTTTTATATACACAATTATGCCATCAAACTGTTGTATAAACACAATATCACACTCGTAGCAGTGCTATATGGCTGTATATCGGCACTAGTGGGGGCACTCGGCCTGCAGCCTCGTGTAAACGCACGCCTTCTACCAGTGCCGATATACAGCTTGCGTTTTGCGTGGTTTTGGGTTCAGTGACTGTAATGTTTCAAACTATAATTTTATTTTTATTACTAAAACGTTTATTACTAAGAAGCGCAAAATTTAATGCAAGCTGTGCAAACATCACACTTTAGTCTGCACTGGACGTTAACTCTAAACAACTGAAAATAAATATATAAAAACTAAATAGAAATGTATTTGCAAACTAAAACTAACCAAACCGTCTGTGAAACAAACTAAAACTGAAATGACATAAAATGTAAAAATAGTATCAAAATAAAAACTAGTTAGTTCTGACCTTGCAGTAAACTATTACTATTAGTGTGTGTGGACGTTTGACTCGTGTATCGACTGTTACAGAGTCATTTCCTTCTGTTTGTGAATTACCTACGTCAGCTTTGGCGAGTCGAAGCCCCCCATGTTGTTTGGCTCAGCAGGAAGAGGGAGCATGTTTGAGATTTGTGCTGAAT